CCTCTTACCTGCTCCGGGGGGCGGAACTCCTGGAAACCGGGCTTTACCTACTAAGATGTACCCATTGAACACCTATGCCAAGTTTCACGCTTTAATCACAATCCGAAAGGTCCGACCCCTTACTAACCGGGGTATCCGCAAATAGTTTGATATGCTGCTGATACGTACCTACATTTTCTAAGATTGTTGGAATGGTGAGTGACACTTCTGTAAATCCACTCATTGACCAGCTCGGACACGACTTCCGAATATTATTTGAATTTCGAACCTTCCGGTAGAGGAGGGGGCTGTACGAGCCTTAATCAAAATGCGTGCGTAAGAAGGAATTTACCAACTCGAAAATTCAAACCACCAATTCGGCTAAGTACTTTCACTCGTAATCATTTTTCATATATCGCGCCGCGGTTATACCATTTACTACCCCTAGAGATCTCTCAACTTATTGATCCTATTAATCAAACTGTATCTACCATAAACGTATTAAAATACAAACTATTAATGCATTTATTAGAATACTAGCGGCCCGCCCAGCGGTTTCACTCGCTGCTACTTACCTGTTTTTCCGTAGAAATGGGATCTTTGCCCGTAGTAAAAAGTCCATTAATCCATTCTAGCAGAAGTTACTCATCATGACCATGTGCCAGCAGAGGCGGCCTGTCATGGCGAATAACTTTAACTTTGAAGCCATTACCGTATCTCTTATAGTTTTGATGGGATGCTGGTGGTCTACATCAGGCACTCCAGACCCTCGTGACCATGTGCCAGTAGAAGCGGCTCGTCATGCTGAATAACTTTAACTTTGAAGCCATTACCGAGTCTAATAAAGTTTAAATGGGGTGCTGGTGGTCTACATCAGGTACTCCAGACCCTCGTGACCATGTGCGAGCAGAAGCGGCCCGTCATGCTGAATAACTTTAACTTTGAAGCCATTACCGAATCTTTTATAGTTTAGATGAGATGCTGGTTGTCTACATCAGGTACTCCAGACCCTCGTGACCATGTGCCAGCAGAAGCAGCCTGTCGTGCTGAATAACTTTTACTTTGAAACCATTACCCTATCTCTTATAGTTTAGATGGGATGCTTGTGGTCTACATCAGGTACTCCAGATCCTCGATGACCATGTGCCAGCAGAAGCGGCCCATCATGGTGAACAACTTATTCTATGAAGCCATGACCGTATCTCTTATAGTTTATATGGGATGCTGGTGGTCTTCATCAGGTACTCCAGATCCTCGAGGGCTGACCATGTCCGTCTTTTATATGATAGTAATATCAGTGCCAAAATTCGCGAGGATCGATAAAGCGGTTTGGCTAATTTGGGTATATCTGCTTTATTTCCCCGTTTTCCTGCTGCTAACCGTTTTCCCGTAGGAATGAGGAATTTTCCCGTGGTAAAAAGTAGCCTATGTTACTCAGGGATGTTGTAGCTTTCTAATAGTGAAAGAATTTTGGAAATCGGTCCAGTAGTTTCGGAGTTTATCGATTACATACAAACAAACAAACAAACAAAAAAACAAAAAAACAAACAAAGTTTTCCTCTTTATTATATTAGTGTAGATAACACAGAAGACTTTCTTGTCTTATGGGAAAATTTATAGGATTGTGCAAATTGTACAATACATAGAAGCAGTTTATCTACCTACCTTATTCACTTTTATTTTATTAATTGACTTTTTATTTTTTATTTCATTATTATTATTTTTGCATTCTGTCCTCAGTAATGTCCTTTATGCAAGTATGGTTGCATTATATTTAGGTACTTTTTGAAATGTAACATGACTGCCAGGCGTTATTTTAAGGTCCATTATTATTATATGACAAATAGTTAGCCCTAGTACAGGCTTTTTTAGCTTTTTTGGGCTGCGATTAACATAGCTACAAAATTAGTCGAGAACCATTGTCTCAATATACAATGGTTCTCGATATAAAATATAAAACTTAAACTTTTAACTTATAATGACATTAATGCTACGTCTTCACAATTTTATGATATAAAAGCTTGTCGCAAGATTTAACCTGTGTATAAATAAAAAAAGAAATAAGGTAACCAGTGTAAATGATCTTAAATAAAATTTAAACTAAGTCACACTACACGAGTACCTATTCAAATCTCGCGAGTCTCGCGACAAGCTTTTATATCATAAAATTGTGAAGACGTAGCATTAATGTCATTATAAGTTAAAAGTTTAAGTTTTAGGAAATGGATTATTTTATACTTTTTAGCGCATCCAAATAAAAGCTTGTTTTAAAAATATTTTTTACTCATAATTTAGTCATCTCTGAAAGGGGTTTTTCTGTTATTCCACAGTTGAATATGTACATTGTGTGATAGTAGTAGGTACCTAATTTTTGCATTCGTGAACCTCAAAGTTATAAAATTGACAACATTCTTTATTGACAGTGCAATGTACAGAAGACTAAAAACCCCAACACTGAAAATTCAGTGTAAAGCGACGTTATCTACCACACATTAGTATTTACTTTCATTTGTCACCCAAACTTAACACGCGATCTAAATTTTAGTCCGCCATATCAGGTTAAGTTTTGAGTGACGTAAACGTCACTTTATTTTTCGAGTTAGTCTCAGCAAGCCCTTTCATTTGATATCCATCTACATCATTGACTGTCCCGATAGCGTAGTGGATAGTACCCCTGCCTTCTACGCCAAGGGTCGTGGGTTCGATTCCCACTGAACACAAATGTTTGTAAAGTCAATTTTCAAATATTTGTGTTTAGTCTGGGTGTTTTCTATGTATAATATGTATTTATTTACAAAAAAAAAAGAAAGTATATAAGTATTATATCAGTTGTCTAGTTCCCATAGTACAAGCTTTGCTTAGTTTGGGGCTAGATAGCGCTGTGTGTCTTGTCCAGGGATATTTATTTATTTATTTATTTATTTATTTATCTACATCTACACTTCTACACTAATATAATAAAGAGGAAACCTTTGTTTGTTTTTTTGTATGTATGTAATCGATAAATTCCAAAACTACAGGACCGATTTCCAAAATTCTTTCACCATTAGAAAGCCACAACATTCCTGAGTAACATAGGCTACTTTTTACCACGGGAAAATTCCTCATTCCCACGGGAAAACGGTTAGCAGCAGGAAAAGCGGGAAATACAGCGGATATTTCCCATATTAGCCAAACTTCTTTACCTATCTTCGCGAAATTTGGCACTAATATTACTAACATAATTGAAAGACGGACATGGAGTACTTTTTGTCAGCCCTCGAGGATCTGGAGTACCTGATGAAGACCACCAGCATCCCGTCTAAACTATAAGAGATACGGTCATGGCTTCATAAAAAAAGTTGTTCATCACGACGGGCCGCTTCTGCTGGCACATGGTCATCCAGGATCTGGAGTACCTGATGAAGACCAACAGCATCCCGTCTAAACTATAAGAGATACGGTCATGGCTTCATAGAAAAAGTTGTTCACCATGACGGGCCGCTTCTGCTGGCACATGGTCATCGAGGATCTGGAGTACCAGATGAAGACCATCAGCATCCCATCTAAACTATAAGAGATACTGTCATGGCTTCATAGAAAAAGTTGTCCACCATGACGGGCCGCTTCTGCTGGCACATGGTCATCGAGGATCTGGAGTACCTGATGAAGACCATCAGCATCCCATCTAAACTATAAGAGATACGGTTATGGCTTCATAGAAAAAGTTGTTCACTATGACGGGCCGCTTCTGCTGGCACATAGTCATTGAAAGTTCTGGAGTACCTAATGAAGACCACCAGGATCCCATCTAAACTGTAAGAGATACGGTAATGGTTTCAAAGTAAAAGTGACTTAGCTTGGCGGGTTGCTTCTGCTGGCACATTCACCTCTGCTGGAACGGAGTAGGTAATGGACTTTTTACTACGGGTAAAGATCCAATTTCTACGAGAAAACAGGTAAGTAGCAGCGGGTGAAACCGCTGGGCGGGCTGCTAGTATTGTATAAAAGCATAAATATGTTGGTCTGCCATCTTAAGAAGTCCACTATATTTAATTTAGAGTGACGTCAACTTATATAATTGGAGTTATTCTCAGCAAACCATTTCATCCGACACTCATATTGTTAATAATCTTAGATGGCCATCTTTAAAAGTCCGTTATATCATTTTCCAAATTGTACTCAGTGAGCCCTTTCATTTGACACCCATATTATAAAAGTGCATCAAAAATTACTTGTCGGCCATCTTGGATGTTCCGCCATGATAGATTTAGAATGACGTCATATAACTATCCATGCATTGTCATCCAAACTAAACGTGTATACAAAATTTCAGCTTAATCGGTTGAAGATATCTGCCTCTAAATTGAGTTGCAAGATTTGCCCCGAACAAACATTGTTACTTACTTACTTACTTACCTCCTGAGTCCCTGCGTCCTATACGAAGAACAAATTCCTGTACTGTGTTAAGTCCTGACGCTTTTGCAACTTTACATCATGCTAGTCTGGAATTTTGTAAATATAGGAAAACTGAAACAAAAAATATAACATTTTACCTTTGATTATGTTTTTACACAAAATGAATAATCAAAACTATTAAATAATAATGTGTTACTAATTTGAAAAATAATTGTAATTAGTACTCAAAAAAAATTCAGTCCCTCTTAATTTGTTCTATATAAAGTACACTAGGCCTTAATGACTACATTCTATTAGAAAGCTCAGGACTCAGGAGGTTAAATACTTACATTCTTACATACACTGCAAGTTAAATAAAAGCTTTTAAAATAGACCTTATGTCGGAGCATTAACATGATTTTGACAGCTGTCAAATATAGCCTATTCGAATGACCGTACTATAATCAGCAAAATTCAATACGGCTGGCGGCAACCATGCTATTGTCACGTTTGGTTTTACGTTGTGTTCGTAACTAATTAATTATGTACTGTGCAAAATGAAGTCGTTTTGCTATTATAATTAAGTGTCATTTACGATTGTGAACAGAAAATCAATAAGAAGTTAAAATATAGAAAAAATGTCATACATCGACCGGGAATCAACCCGGGCCGCATGGGTCAACGCCCCACTGCTCTGCTATGCCACTTAGCTATCGATGCACCGGTTGATGAATGCTAAATTTTCTATCTCTTGACATTTTTTCTATTTCTTATTTCCACTTGTGAGAATAATATAGCACTGTAAGTGCATTAAAAATGCCAATAAATCAATAAAAAATTGGGAACAAATGAATAAACATAAAATACGAGTAATTTATAAAGTGTGTAACACTAACGCGTGGTTGGGCTCCATCTACCGGGATAGTATTTTGCAACTATTTCCCAGCGACTAATTCATTCTTTACAGATTGAATGTAGTCAAAGCGATGAAAACCCGCGATAAATTGAATACCAAATTTTAAAACACTTCTCGTGTTAGGTAAACAATTTGCAAACAAAAACTATCCCGGTAGATGGAGCCCATCCACGCGTTAGTTGACGAGATATACTTGCTTAATTCGCAGGCTGAATTACTTTGCAGCCATTACCTCTATCTCCTCAGCCAGTATCTCTTATAGTTTAGATAAGATGCTGGTGGTCTACATCAGGTACCTACTCCAGACCCTCGTGACCATGTGCCAGCAGAAGCGGCCCGTCGTCATGCTGAATAACTTTTAATTTGAAGGCATCACTGTATCTCTGACAGTTTATTTGGGATGCTGGTGGTCTACATCAGATACTCCAGATCCTCGATGACCATGTGCCAGCAGAAGTGGCCAGTCATGGTGAACAACTTTTCTCTGAAGCCATGACCGTATCTCTTATAGTTTAGATGGGATGCTGGTGGTCTTCATCAGGTACTCCAGATCCTCGATGTCCATGTGCCAGATGAAGCGGCCCGTCATGGTGAACATTTTTTCTGTGAAGCCCTGACCGTATCTCTTGTAGTTTATATGGGATGCTGGTGGTCTTCATCAGGTACTCCAGATCCTCGAGGACTGACAAAAAGTTGACCATGACCGTCTATAATATGCTAGTAATATCAGTGTCAAAATTCGCTTAGATCAGTAAAGCGGTTTGGCTAATTTGGGTAATAACCTTTTAAGTATTGAACCGGGTCTATCACGATAATTATTTAGGTAAACCTTTATAATTTACCTGTGTCCCGACGTTTCAACACAGTTTCATGTGTTGTGGTCACTTAAAATGTGTGAAAACAATCGCGAGTGCTTCAAAAGTTATATTGGGTAATAACCGCTATATTTCCCGCTTTTCCTGCTGTTAACCGTTTTCCCGTAGGAATGAGCAATTTTGCCGTGGTAAAAAGTAGCTTATGTTACTCAAGAATGCTGTAGCTCTCTAATGGTGAGAGAATTTTAGTAATCAGTGCATTAGTTTCAGAGTTTATCGATTACATACAAAAAAACAAACAAATCTTTCCTCTTTATTATATTTGTAGATGTAGATTGATGACATACCGTGGTGAGGTGCTGCATCCTCACACTTGTCTTGGCAGTCCTGCGTCTCCTCCATCAGCTCCTCAGAGGGTTCAGGCTTGATATCCAGCTCCGAGTGGAGGCCCAAGCTTCGACCTACAACCAACAACACATAACAATGATATGCATTAAATTTAAAATTATTTCATGTATTCCCTCTGTCTCCGGTATGCGGTATGCGGAGGGGACAAAGGGAATTTATTGAAATAACCAAATATGATTCCCGTTGTTGATAGGCGTATTTCTGTTGAGGGTGGGGCAAGGCAGGGAAGGCAAGGACATTATCTTACCACGCCACGCTTCGCCTTATCCTTACAAATCTAGCTTTGAAGACGAAAATGCCATGGCGCAAATAAGGTAACAGATTTTTAAATGGCCATCTTTTACTGCCATTTACGCTCTGTCTACCCCGTAAGGGATATAGGCGTGATATATGTTCTAAAAGGGATTAGTCACTTCTTAAGACTCCCATGCGAAAGACAAGTGGAGATGCTATTCTAAGCCAGCACCACACGGCAATATTTCATTTATTTTGAGTAATATCTAAAATGTGAACAGCGAACATTACCAAGCTCTAAACTTGAATATTGATGTCCAAGAGGACGAGTCAACTTGACCCGCAACTGCCGCGTGCTACCGATCGTGTCCGGCTCCAAACTCATGCCATCATCAGCATCTATTCTTTCCTACAATAAAAATATAAGGTGAAATTTTACTAGTTACAGCACTAATACCGGTTAAGAGAATTGTTTTCTGAAATTGCCTCCAATGAACTCCACAGGCTAAATTGAAGTCTTGTATGTAATACCTTAATGTCATAATTAAGAATTAGACCATGCACATTTAGCATGGTGTAATAAATTACCTATAGCAAATTTAATTAAAAGAATTTGTCGTTTCCTGAAAATATTTTTAATAATAATTTATAGCCGTAGGTACCTACCATTTTAATGGAAGTGTCAAGTGGTGTAGGTGTCGGAGTCACAGTCACAGCTGCAACTGATTGACCTCCGCCACTGCAAATATAACATTCACTGTATAAATAGAGAACATTTCATTCACTGTATAAAGAGGGGGTGTATGGTAGACGCCTCCACGCGCGGTCAGGCATGTAGGTGGTCCTGTGGGTTTGCAGGTTTTCAAGTTACTACAATTACTTGATAATCTGCTAACCCTATGGAACGCCGACATGCTGACCCGGCACACCCCGGGCAACGTGGTTGACAATGGGAAGACCTTCAGCATTCCTATTGTCAGCTGCGGCCAAGTCTACCCCCCCTGATACCAAGCGACCTCAGGGCGTATATAGCCTTACCCCCGCATGCGGGGCTCTGCGGGGGTGGACCGTTTATTTCCCTAGCTGCTCGTGGGAACAAAAAGAGTTTTTCTTTTGCGCTGCAAGATTTGCAAGCGGTTATTAATACCACTTCAGGCACTCAGAGGCCTGTTGTGGGGTTGGCGGAGGGGAACCAGAGTCTCCAAAACCAACAGGAGCAGGTGAAAGGGAGCATGTCTCCCCAAAACCTAGACAGGATGGAGCTGGGACCGGAAGATCCGGAGGCCCATCAAGAAAGCGCTAAGCCTGCAGGCGAGCACGGGGACGGCCAAGGTCGACCCAGAGGGTGTGCCGGCAGTGTTAAGCGCCGCTTTGCCTACTGGCTCAAGAAAGGGCTAGGTAGGGAGGAAGCCAGGGTTCGGGCTGCACGCCCGCTGTTAGACTTCCCGGAATATCGGGAAGAGATGGAGGCCCAGCGCGCAGCGTCGGGTGGCTCCAAAAAACAGTCGGGCAAGAGGACCAGAACCTCGGAAGGCTCACCAGGGGGGCAACCGAGCAAGAAGGCCGGGAAGTTCTCGGGACCTACTATGGCTCAGGTTGCCGGCTCTATGAAGGTGGGCATCATGGACGCGAGCAGGGCCATCCAATCATTCGCAGTAGGTCCATTGAGATTCGGGCCATCACCCCCGCGTTGGTTGCCAAGGTCGAGGGAGAGATCGTTCGCCTTGCAACCGCCGCTGGGGTGGGGCCCCAATTGATGGGATTCAGTGTTCGGGGGGGGTGTGCTCATCCTCACCTGCATGACTGCTGAGTCCCGTAAATGGCTCGCGGACAACGTCGGCGGCATGAAGCCTTGGGAGGGGTCCTCACTACGACTCCTAGATGAGTAAGACCTTCCCAAGGCTATCATTGTCATGGCCTACGTACCCAGTATGGAGGGGATAGGACCGGGCACCATACTGGGGGCACTGCATGCGCAGAACCGAGATGTAGGTTGCGACCGCTGGAGGCTGATCAACGGCAAGGCTGACAGCTCGGGGCATACTTTTTGCTTCGGGCTAGACGCTGCGCTGTTGGCTAGCCTCCGGCGCAAGAACCTCCTCCTGCACCTGGGGATGCGCACGGTAGCCTTCCGTGTGAAGGGGCACAAAGCTGAAGGAAGGGCTGCACCTGGGCAGGTTGCAGCCGGGGACAGGACCGCCGCGGGAGACTGTTCTAGGCCGCCCGCGGAGGCTTCAGACCTGGCTGTAGCAGGGCCCTCGACTGCTCCCCTTTCTCAGCCACAAGCAGCTGCAGGCGCTGACCAGGCACCAGCTGCGTGGAATGCCGTTGCGGGCCAACAACCTGCTTCGGTACAATCTCCGGCTCGAGGAGAAAGAGGCACCCACAGTGCCGCTAACACCTCTGGCCGGGGAACGAGAGGGTCGCACAGGGGGGGCGCATTTCAGGCCCCCCGTGGCACCCCGAGGGGAAGAGGAGCCTACACTGCACGTGGACTCGCCAGAGGAAGGCCAGTACAACTGCCTTCCTTAAAGAGTGAACACACGAGCAGGAAGGCTGCTCTTAACCCTCTTAACAACCCTAACCCCTACCCACCGCCCCAGTAACAACACACCCAACCACTAACCCCATCCACTTTTCCTTTCCCATCCACTAGTTTCCCATCCCTTACACCTCTCCCTATCCATATCCTACAATATGTTCAAAGTCATTCAAATTAATTTACACCACGCGAAAGCCGCATCTGAACAGGGGCTTGACATGGCTTTGATTCAGGAGCCGTGGATCAATGGTACCGCGGTCCTTGGGCTTGGTGCAGCAGGTAAGTTGCTTTCTAATTCCGGTGGCACCAAACCCAGAGCATGTATAGTGTTTAAGAATAATGTAAAAATTTTACCTATACCTTATTTCTGTACAGATGACCTGGTCGCTGCTTATGTTATCCTGCCGGGACAGCAGGGCAGGAAGATCGTGGTCTGCTCTGCATATCTCGCTGGTGAGGCGGCTGACCCCTCTCTACAGATTGCACCACTGGTAGAGTACTGCGAGGACCAGGAGGTGGACCTGCTCCTGGGGTGCGACTGCAATTCGCATCACACCTCTTGGGGCAGTTCGAACACAAACGCACGGGGTGAGTTTCTGTTCGATTTCATGTTATCTAAAGGACTTCTCTCACTAAACACAGGTCAGGAGCCAACATTCATCACCAGGGCGCGCAGGGAAGTCTTAGATATAACTATGTGCTCTGAGCACTTCGCGAATCACGTCTCGGGCTGGCACGTCACCGACGACGCATCGCTATCTGATCACAGGTACATCAGGTTCGACATTGCCACCAAACTTAGCAA